CTTCATGTAGTTCAACATATGTGTGTGTGTGTATATATATATATATATATATATATATATATATATATACACATACCAATATATAAATATATATATATATATACACTATACCATATATTGGTATAAATTCAGATTTCCTGACCTGGAGATGAATCCCACATTTTTGTGTTGCTCACAAAGTTAATAGGGCAGCAGTTCAGTCCAGAGCAATAGAATTCCTTTAAATTACTTCGACAGTTGAAGCGTTAGAAACTCCTGTGTGCACTTAGAGGCAGTCAGTATTAGCGGAGATATCTAATAATTGAAACACACCTGTTTTCTTTGATTTTATGGATAATTTGATACAGTAAAATTGTATTGTTTTACTTTCTCAAAATTTCTTTATACCACTGTTAATTTGATTTGGAGCTGAACTTCCAATGAGGGCACTTCAACATAGTCTTTGCTGTTGCTTTGTATACTACAGATTTCAGTGTTATGATTTTATTATTCTTGAAATGCTAGATGCTATTCGATTTTACAGCTTTATTTTAAAGAGTGACTATTAGCAGTTTTGCTTATGCCTCATTGAACGTGAAGTGGAAGGAACTGCTTGCTTGGGAATTAGAGTGCTGGTATTGTCATTCTTCACAGGGTGTTAGTTCATCAAAGTGCTTCAATATTTTTTCCCCCTTTTCTGTATTTTTAGTAGCTTGTGTTTAATTTTTTTCTCTTTTTGAAGTCAGGATGCTTCCAGGTTCTGCAACTGATGTTTTGACAAACCCATGTGTTTAACATGTCATGCTATCATCACAAAAGCTTAACAACTTTTCAAAAATTAGAATTCCATTAACATTGTTAGTAGAAGGTATCAGGTTAACAGCATTTGGCATGTCAGAGAGGAAAAACTAACAAATTAACTCCCCCTCCTAACAACTGCAGTATTTTTACAGTAGTCTTACAGGCTCACTTATCCATATGTGGTTTCTTTAGCAACATTAATTGAAGCTTAATCTAGTAAACCAAAGTTATAACATGTTTTTAAAAGAGCAAGATGTAATGGTATAAAGTATTTTTTGAAAAACGAAGACAGTGTAAACGAATCGAATTTTCCTTGAAAGCAAATATGCAAAAGGTTAAGTTTAAAGACAGCAACCACAAATTAATAGCTAACTTTAAAATTTTTATGCAAGATCTCTTGAGAGTTAAAGCAGCAAGCAAAAACTGGCATAGGCAAAAAATGGCATGGTCTTTGCTGTTTGAAGTAATTTGAATCTTTTACTGACTTTGTGTCTGTGCTTTACTAATGTCCTAGTTGCATTCAAAATGTGGTAGCAGTATTTGGGATGTTAAAATTATATCTTAGCTGATACCTAGTACTGCACCACATCTCACTAATATCATTGACATGATGAAAAGCCTGGTTGGAGTTGTTTTTTTCTCTAAAAATGGAAATGTCAAGTCTGCTGAAATGAAAAAAATATTTAGAAGAAATATTAGGAAAAAAAGTCCTCTGCATGATTGCGTGTTACCTCTCAAACAGGGAGAAAATTTTATGGGCTCTTCTCATCTGTTCAGTATTAACTTCTTGTGAATGATCACATGATCAAGAAATGTTAGAGACTGGATCAAGTCCCAGCTGAACTTTGTGGTTTAGTCTCTGAACAATGTCTTTGAGGCTCATGTCATAAACTACTGGTTATCATAAAAATAATTGCTTCATTTTCCTTTTACTGATAGCAGCTTTTGTTCATGTGTTTCTACGAATTTAGGAATGGTGTCAGTTCTGGATTTAATGCAAGGTGGTTTCCCTTCGCGAGCTTCATTTCATGAACTGTATAATATGTACAAGAAATACTTGCCTGAAAAATTAGCTCGACTGGATCCTAGGCTTTTCTGCAAGGTAAGAAAGAAATTAATTCTTCTAGATCATCCAGGACAGAAAATGTATTGTGGGCTTTTTTTGTGTGTGTTTTGAACTTTTTTTTTTTTTAAGGAGGCAGAATATATTCATAACTGTTCTCTGTATTTCAGGCACTATTTAAAGCCTTGGGATTGAATGAAAATGATTATAAATTTGGGCTAACCAAGGTGTTTTTCAGACCCGGCAAGGTAATGTTTCTCTTGGAATCCATGAATCTTAGAATAATTTTGATTGGAAGGGATCTCTGCAGGTGACATTGTTCAACACATTGCTAAAATGTGTCCAGTTTAAATAAGGTTGCCCAGGTTTTTTTGTAAATACTATTAATTTTCTATGAAAAAATTCAATACTGATAAAATTGATTTCATAGTCTTGTTGCTACTGCTGTTGTATTCCTAATGCAGTGTTTGTATTCCCACACATTCTATGAGACACATAAGCCTTATGCTGACTATTAAAAAGAGCAAGTCAGAGCAAAGAAAAGATGTTTTCTAGTAAAATCTGTTTATAGTTTAAATCCCTTTCTGTGATTCTGAGCATTGCTGCTGCTATGGAGAGCATGTCTTCTGTGAAGACAGGTGGAGAGAGTTGTGGTTGTTCAGCCTGGAGAAGTGAAGGCTCCGGGGAGACCTTGTAGTGGCCTTCCAGGAAGGGGGTAGCTACAGAAAAGATGGGGAGGGACTCTTTTATCAGAGATTGTAGTGATAGGACAAGGGGTAATGGTTTTAAAATGAAAGAGGGTAGATTTAGATTAGATATAAGGAAGAAATTATTCACTGTGAGAGTGGTGAGACACTGGCACAGGTTGCCCAGAGAAGCTGTGGCTGCCCCCTCCCTGGCAGTGTTCAAGGCCAGGCTGGACGGGGCTTTGAGCAGCCTGGTCTAGTGGAAGGTGTCCCTGTCCATGGCAGGGGTGTTGGAACTAGATGATCTTTAACATCCCTTCCAACCTAAACCATTCTGTGATTCTATGAAGTAGGGAGGAGTTGCTACTAGAAAGGAAAATTACTGTTCCAGAAGAATGTTCTTACTGTCATAATTACCAAAAATTAGAAGTGTGGTATTTTCAGAAAAGGTTGCCTTTAGTCGGACTCTTATACAAAGGTTAAAAACTGAGAAGTGCTTTCAGGGCTTTATTTTTTCCCAGATACAGAATTAAAGGTGTTGAAGTTGTAGAAGGCCAGAGTAAGTGTTTAGGATGTAGAGAAACAATTTTTTTTTTTTAATTTTGGCAATAAGTATTTAGTGCTTAATGAATGTTTGGATTACTCAAAATGCTAACTGCACATCAATTAAACAAACAAAAAATACCAGTAGTCATTTCTGCTATCATTAAAGAATGAGGTAACGCCAGACATACCTGCTCACTTGAATTAATTGAAAGCTGATGTAATGATAACATTCAGTTGATATTAAAAATATTTTACCTTTTTAACTCAACATGCTCTTAAATAATAATGTCTAACACTCTCTGTTCTCCTAATTTGTAAAACTTTTTTTTTTTTTTATTACTATTTAGTTTGCAGAGTTTGATCAGATAATGAAGTCTGATCCAGATCACTTAGCAGAGCTAGTTAAACGAGTGAATCACTGGCTTATCTGCAGTCGCTGGAAGAAAGCTCAGTGGTGTTCTCTCTCAGTGATTAAATGTATGTATTTTATCTTTTATTAAAATGTTTGTTAAATATAGCAAAGCAATTTTTATCACCTTGAAATGTAGCCAAGGACATGTATAGCAGATGGTTACATATGGAAATCTGTGTAATTGATTTCAAGGTTGGTGAGATTTTTTTTATGCTTCGTTAGGTATATTCAGTTGGTCTTAGAGCAGAGGTTTTTCAAATCGGGCCATACGACCCACCACCAGTCTCCTGTGTCCAGTCTGCTTGAGTACTCACTGATGCCTGGGTAAACACTTGCAGAACACTTGCAAAGAAATAACTAGTTACCACAAGTCTTGCAGGGGAGAGACTTCTGTATCATCATGAAAGACCAGTAGATCAACTCTCAGCTGACAACATGGAGTCATTTAGTTCTGGGAAGGGCCTGCACAGAGGTCATCATCTGCAGACAGAAACTGCATCTTCAAAAGTAGTGACATAAATTATGGAGCAAACATCTCCACTCCAGCAATTACTGCCAATAAGCAACTAAGTGCCTATCACTATTGATACGCAATTTCCCAGTGCTTGGCCTGCCCAGTTTACTGTGCAGAGTAGGAATGAGGTGGTAAGAAATACAGATTACTGCCTCTGGGGTGCTTCAGTAAAGATGTCTGGGAGCTGAGGAAAGATCTGATGCAGGATGTCAGAGATCAATAATAACATGGAGGGTGCAAAGTACACATTAAGATGGGGAAGAAAAGCATAAAGGTCTCATGCCTTATGGCTGTGCATTTGGGCCAGCACAGTCGTGACATCTACATATGTCATGGATACCATTTGTTGCTGTTTATATGGGGGCAAATAGAATTTGTGAATTCTTATCATATAGGTTTCAGACATCAGAAACTGTAACACTGAAATCATGTTTTTGACCTGGAAATTTTTGCCATTTAGTCTATTTCTCAGAAAGGACAAAACGTTTGTCATTATGTCCAAAAAATAGAAACCCAGGGAAATTATATGCTGGTTTGATGTGCCTTACTTTTTTTAGTGTTTTATAGGAAGGTAGAAGCTAATTTTATCAAAAAAATAAAGCTGAAAGAGATACACAAAACGGGGAGTGCATCTTTGTGATCAGTTAAGTCCAGTAGATAAATATCACTGTGGTAACAAACCATATGCTCAGATGTTGGCTAAAGGCAGCATGTATCCTTCAGCATCTATGTTCCCTTCAGTAGATATGCAAAAACTGCATTTATTATTATTGCACTTCTGAGCTACTCGGCACATGTGCTTGTGCTTGTGCCTTGATGTTATTCTTTAACTTGCCTCCTGGTCCCAGTCATTGGAGCCTTTAGATGAAGACTGTATTAGAACAACAGCAGCTGGAGGTTTTATTTTGTGTTCTTTAATTTCAGTATTGCAGAGAAATGCTCAGCAAAGTTGCAGCCACTTAATTATCTCTAGAAGATATTGGCTACTTGATTACCTTTTCAGCAAAGGACTTCAGCTTGGAGCTGAGCATTTCCTGCTTGCTAGGTCCAGTGACCTTTAACTGTGGGTATTATGTCTGTGAACCCGGAGTGGTGAGGGGCGGTGAACACATGTGAGTGTGCACGCGCTTAATTCTTCCTGTTTGTTTTGGGTGGGAGCCTCTATGCCTGCCTCAGGATTGTGAATTCTGTTGTCTGCTGTGTCTGTTGTAAGTCTTATGGTTGTGGTATAGACCTAGCTCTCAAGCACGTGTTTTCTACATACAGTTTTGAGCTGTGAGTAATATAGGAGTTGTATTTAACTATATAAACCATTGAGTCTCAGTATCTTCTGTGTGTTTACAGTGAAAAATAAGATAAAATATCGAGCCAGTGCTTGCATTAAAATACAAAAGACTATTCGTATGTGGCTTTGCAAGAGAAAGCACAAACCACGGTAAGAGGATATTTCTTGGTTGAAGAAAATTGATTTTGAATAATATTTTCTTACTAATATAAACTGGTGATTTACTATGCTTAACTAAATATATCTGAACTCATAGAATGATGCTAACTATGACTAAAAGAGACTTAGAGAGGTGCTGTGTTCCTCTTCTCTTTCCCAAGGATGAATAGACTAAATCTGAACCTTTCCTAAGAGATGTTTAGCACTTTGTTCATAAAATCCTTCAATGATAGCCTCGTTATTGGAAATCCTTAGTTAAGTCTCTCTACGTGAGATATGAATTCATTAATTTTTCTCCTTTACCCATTCACACCTTCCTCATTTTTTTTTTTTTTTTTTTTTTTTCTTAAAAATATTGCTGTGTTCTGTCTGTCTTGTCTCCTCTTGAAATTAGATAATTCCATTAGCTTTAATCTGACTGCATGGACTAGTGATGAAAAAAAAATCACTTTGGTCATTAAGCTTTGCTGACATGTTTTTGTTCTTTAATAGAGATCCAGCTCTCCATTCTTTAATGATGGGGTTCTTGCAAAATGTGTTCTTTTACATTCTTTGATAGTTTTCATTTTGTGCCTTGGCATATCTGTCCAAAACCCAGTTTTTAAGCTGTTCTGTACTCATCTTTTTGATTTATGTTAAGTCAAATATACTCATCATTTGATTTAGTTTCTACTTTTTGTGTTGTTTTTTTTCCCTGAATCCCAGTTCAAGAATTTCTTTCTAGAAAGACTGTCTCTGCAGAATTGTAACTTGTGTGTGTGGCCTTCAGTATTAGTTCTTTAAAAAAGGTCCAAGTTTTCCTGGACTACTCTTTTCTCCAGACTTTTTGTTCCCTGTGGGATCTAATGACTGGGTTCCCTCCTGTGTAGTTAAGTTTTATCTGATTCAGTCCCATTATTGCTTATTGAGTAAGTGGCCTAACTCAACCTTTATCCACTCCAGTCAAAATCCTCTGGTGGATACTAATGATTTGTTACTGAGGAAAAAAAGAATAAAACAACTCCATACTGATTCTCAAAATAAAAATGCATTTTTTCATTTTGAGTTGCTGTCTGCCAATAATTTTAAATTATTGTTTCCAAAAAGCTCCATTGCTTAGTTACTTCATGTGATAATGTTTGAATTTCAAAAAAGAGGGTGAGTTTTATCAGAAGGCATACCTTGTCTCTCCTATCTACCTCTTTCATGTGAGTGAGTAGTGGTAGTTTTAAAAATATCACCTTATAAAAACATCTCAAGATACAAATAAACTGTCTTCCTTTCACAGCATTGATGGCCTGATAAAAGTGCGTAAGCTGAAGAAAAGACTTGATAGATTTAATGAAGTAGTAAGTGCTCTGAAGGAGGGGAAGGTGGAGACAAGCAAGCAAGTCAAGGAGCTGGAGTATTCTATTGATGCTTCAATGACCAAAATTAAGGTGTGATCATAATCAGATAAATAGTTTCATATTACTGGAGTCTTTTAAAAACTTAATCTAAACTAGAAGGCCAGTGTATTTTTCTTAATAGAAAAGACATTTTAATACAGAGGTCTTAATTTTCAGAGCCACTGGGTAAACTGTTTAAAATTATTTGTGAATGTAACTGAAGTGAATCCTGAAACTGGGTGCATATGTCTACTTTGGTATTATTATGTGTGTTTCAAAATTGGCACTGGAGAATTTAAAGCAAAAATGCCCGTTGATATTGTTAGACAAGTGTTGTTAATAATTTGCTCATAGCTTTTATTATTGGAGTAATTAATATTGGCAATGTTTTTAATTAATCAGGGCTGAAACATACAAGGTTTTATCACAGAGTGATTTATATTCCATTAAAAATTTTTTTTTCAGACTTGGTAATAAAGAAAATTCAGCTTGCTGATTATGCTTCAGGGTCTATAGTTCTCAGTTTCTTACTGCAAAAGTACACAGACAAAATGAAAGCACACTGGGATTTATTAATATTAGAAAAAAAATTGTGTGTTGAACTTCTGTTTCATGAAGTATTATAGCTTTTTCTAGTGTACCATATTAAGATTTTTCTATTTAAAATCAGTGTTGAAAAGATAATAGGGTTAATCTCTCTACTTATAGTTCCCTTCTTAATAAAAATAATTCGATTATCATCATTATACACCCTCAGAAAAGGTCAGCAAATACCCCATATCATGGTTTTATTATTATACATCAATGTGAATTGCAAAATGAAATTAAGTTATAGCTGCCAATGAGGTTTGAGAACATATGTAGCAAATGCTATTGTTTTAAGTATTTTCAACCTGTTATTTGCTACTAATACCTTTTTAAAAAAAGTTAGTCATGGCATGGTCCAGTACTTCTACTGAGTGTTTGCACACATAGTAAGAAAAACTATTCTGTGCTATGACAATAAGGGCAGAGTTGTAAATAACCACTTAGCAGCTAAGAACACAACACAAAAGAGGAAGTCCTTAGTTTTCATCTTAGCGTGGTAAGAATTAATTTCTGTTGCTTAAAACTGCAAGGTATAAAAAATGAAGTCACATTTTAAAGGGAAGCCAAGTTTAATTTCAGTGATAAAATGGAGATGACTTTGTATGGTTTTATATGAGAGAGGAATGCATCCCCAGGATTTTAGAAAGAAAGGGAAGGATGTGTTCAAGCTCTCCCACCCTCAAATGTGTATATAATTATACTGCTTAATGCTCTCATTTCACTTAATCTTTTTAAATACACATTTTTTTTAAAGTGAACTATAAATGTAAAAGAATATAATCCCCTCTATTTCATTTTACAGACCACTATAATGACTAGGGAACAGATACAGAAAGAATATGATGCTCTAGTTAGAAGTTCAGAGCAGCTTCTAAGTGCACTGCAAAAGAAGAAACAGCAAGAGGAGGAAGCAGAAAGGCTGAGACGCATCCAGGAGGAAATGGAAAAAGAAAGAAAGAGACGTGAAGAGGAAGAACAACAACGAAGGAAGGAAGAAGAGGAAAGACGTCTGTGAGTCTTGAATAAATTGCTGGTTGTAGAATGAGAATAGGAAAGGCACGTTAATGAGGTCATTTCTAATACTCATATGCTTAAAGGGAGTCTCTTGGTGTGGTATGCAGTGTTAAAATGTTTCCTTTCCCAGTGATTTATGAGGTAAGTGTAGTTAGAATAGAGTGTGTAATCATAGAAGTGTGGAAAAAAAAATACATGATGCAGCTGGAAATACAGATGGGCTTGGGAAGTTTCTTGACTTTGCATGTAGTGTCCTTTCATCAGGACTACTGACTTCTGGATTACCATTCAGTTTTATGGAAGATGCTTTCCTCTATCTTGTTCACTTGCATTGTAATAGTATGTTTTCATTTCTTCTTCCTATTTTGTAATAGGAAATCTGAGATTGAGGCAAAGAGGAAACAGGAAGAGGAAGAGAGGAAAAAGAGGGAAGATGAAGAAAAGCGTATTCAGGTTAATGTTTTAGCTGTGTGTGGGTTCTGTGGTTTTTTTTGTTGTTTTTTTTTTTTTCTTGGTGGGTATTTTTGTTTGTTTTTTAATTTTTTAAAAATCTTTTTCACAGTTTAGGTTCTCCACTGAGTCTAGTGGCTTTATTTTATAAATGCATGTCTCACAGTCATTCAGCAGTGTTGCTTTAGTAGTAAATGTAAGGCAAAAATCATAATTAGGGCATCCCAATGCAAATCACCTATTTCTAGTTCACATACAAGTTCATGTCTTCTGAGTAGGGGTGCATTTCTTTTTAAAGTTATTTTAAAGTTAAAAATACACAACACTGGAGAATCCTAGTTAGCCCTTTGAAGTTTTTGCAGGTGTTCCATGTCAGGCAAGTTTGCTCTCTTACTAGAAGTTACATCTGGACTCAGGCTGTGCCATGTACCAGTTTAACTGTAAACACTTTCAGAATATTTGTAATCATGATAGGATACAGGACTGTCTCTCATAGCCCCTTGCTCATGTAGAACAAATACACACAGTTTGAGCCCAGCCCCTCCACCCCTCCCCCTTGATTCCTGATGCTTCTTACTGATCCCATCATGAACTCTCACTCTGATGTGTGTTTGGCCCCTATGCCTTTGTTTTCCTCTTGTCTTGGATGACTGTGGTCACTGATATTTACAGACTCTTTTAAGCCCTATCTATGATTAATCAGAAGCTGAATTTTTGTCCTGTATCTTGTTATCCCTGGAGTTAGCCTAGCACTGCTTATATCCTCGTTGTGTCAGCATACTCTTTTCTATCACCTCACCCTCATTTTTGATAAACAAGTCCCTAGAACTCACAGAGAGATTACAGCCTGACTTTGGTGAAAGTTGAATCGTTCCTGTGTTCCTGTTTGTCACCTGTATCAGAATAATAAGCTCTATGAGCTTGCAGAATTTAAACATAAAAAGAGTAAGTTGCTATTTGGTTAGTCTCTAAATCATTCCTTAGAGACCATTGCAGATATGCCTAGTATTTTTTGAGAAATTCATAGGGTAAGTTTCCATTCAGGGTCAGTTTAAATGGATTAAACTTTGTCCACTGAGAGAGCAAGATGGCCTGTTGCCAGAACGTTTAGAAGCTTGGTCTGCCAGCACTATGAGCATCACTAGGGATTTTATTTATGTTTCCTTGTTTCCAAGATGTGGATATCTGCAGTGCAGAATGTAATTTACACTTTTACTTAGAAACACTGCATTTGGATACAAAGCATATATGTAATCCAGGAGGGTATTTCTTTCTTCTATGTACAGTTAATTATTCATTATCTCTCTTCCCAGTGGTTGTTGCTTATCAGCTAATCAAAAATGCGATTCATAGGGTAAAGTCTCTGGTGTTACTGTGTTGCTTTAGTGGTGCAAATTCATGATGATGAGTAGGAACTGACTTTGTCTCCTTTGTTGACTTTTGGGCACCAAGAAGGGCACTGCTAAGCCTTGGTGTGTATTACTTTCAGAAGTATGAATTAGGTGGTCTTGTTTTACTTACTGTGTGTGTCTTGCCCTTTGTTAAATAATGACGGTGAACTGGAATTATAGTTTTGCTCTGCAGAGGCAGTGTATCTGGATTGCTTCTGCATTGCAGTAAATTGGAATTATACCATTTGCTTAAATTCAAAGCCAGATCAGGTCCACAGAGGATTTCAGTGTTTGTCTTGATGTTTTTTTCAAAATGAACCATGGACCTATATGCAAAGCAATGCCTATTGCAAAGTCCTGTAATGCCAGGTGCAGAATATTAAGGGAGTACTGTATTAGTGCTGTGGAGGAGTAACCATATGGCTCTGTATCATCTGAGCTCTAATGATTCTAAAACCTTTTGAAGGGTAATTTTCATAATAGCTAACAAAAAGCTTCATGTGTTTTTTAAATAAGGAACAATTGATTGGCACGTTAATTTGGAAAGATAATATGAGTGGTGGTCAATAATGATTTGATAAACTGTATGAAAACCAAGATGCAGTCTGTAGCTGTTCGAGTTTTGTTAGGTTAAACTAAATACTAATGCTGTTACTTTTTCATTTATGTGAATTTTGCATGTTTTGAAAGCTGTAAATGTACTACTTGGCATGTTTTTCTAATAATTATGTAGCGTTTTGGTTTTGATTTGGTGTAAGGTTAAAGGCGTTTTTTTTATAAAACAGGCTGAAATTGAGGCACAGCTAGCTAGAGAACGGGAAGAGGAAACCCAGCACCAGGCAGTGCTTGAACAGGAACGTCGTGATCATGAACTTGCAATGAGAATTGCCCAGAGTGAGGCAGAACTCATCAGTGATGAGGCTCAGCTTGATTTAGGATTGCGCAGGTATGGGGTTAAGTAGTTACATTTCTCCTTTGTGTGTGTGTGGTCTTCCTATCCTGATCCCTTTGAGAAGACTACTTTCTTGTTGGTTTTATGTATTTTTGCATTAATGAAATGGCCCTTTCAAGTGTATTGGAATATTTTTCAAATTAACTTGTGAAATTTGTTAGAAATGGATTGCTTTTTGTATAAGGCTTTCTTCATTTTACATCTTGCCACATCAGTAATTTAGTAGGTGCTTATGAATACAACTGCAGTTTCTCTCTGAGTTCTGGCAAGGATGGCAACCAGTTTAAATTACGATTTTTATGACTAATTTAAAGTAGTGAATAGAATTTCTTCATTGATAAGTAATAATAAAATATATGTTTTCTGTTGCTTGATGGTTCCAGTAGTATAGTGTGAATTTGTATGTGTTTTCTTTTAATGAAAAGCCCTCTTTGAATGCAGAAATAGTAGTTATATTTGCATCCTGACTGGTAAGTTTTTTAAAGTGGAATGAATATATTTAACATAGATGGGCTTGAAAATTAAATGTTGTCTTAAATGTTTTGTGTGAATTGTTTGATGTGTCGTAAGAAATCCTTGGCTTTCCAGAGATCCAGAGATCCACACTGCCTCCAAAGCAGGAGCTCTTTCTGTGTAAAGGGTGTTGCCTTAGAAGCAACTTTAGAAGTTCCAGTAAAAATGGTGCTTATTGGTCAAATTGCATAAAGGGGCTTAGGAACATGATCACGTCATTGGTGACATCGTTAGTGCTAGTCTACTCAGTTTATCATTGCTGAAAGAAGGGGTGTAAGAAAATCCCATGTGTTTCCATGGAATTTCAAGCTCACGGATGTGTTCTCTTTGCTACTCAAATCTTATCTAGATCTATGCTTTTTTTTAATAACTGCATGCCTATATGAGATATCTAGGTCTTTTTTTGTCATGTACAATATTGATTTTTAGTTACTTCCACTAAAATTATTGTGATTTTGCTCTCAGTTAAATATTAGCCATCATATTGTCTGAGATAATATGCTCAGTTGGATGTCCAAGAGTTACACAGACAGTATTCTGGAGATTTTCATATCTCCCCTGTTTGGAAATCGGTGCAATACTTTGAAGGTAAACCCAAAGTCACTGTGGTGTTGCAACCTGGCAACCTTCTCTTAAATATGAACAAAAGGAGGCAATAGACTAGAAGGCCTTAGAGAATTCAGTAACTTTTCTGTCAGTGAAGCTCTAATCTCCACAGTGTTTCCTACTGCTCATGGGTGATCCTTGTATTTTTCTTCCTTTGTAGTCCCAGAATGGATGATGAACTAATCATCCTGGTCGTTATGACTGCCAGTTTCTCTCTGCTGTGTAGCTAGCGGTAGGAGAACGAAGACTCTCTTCTGAATGATTGCAAAGTGTGGAATGGTCTGAGGAAGTTAACATAGCAATGTAAATCCTTTCTTGAACAAGGATACATATAAATCTAGAAAAAAAGTAACATATATTTTTCTGCTTACATGATTCCTTTTTAGCTCATTAGCAAATTATTTTCCTTCTGTTTCTGCAGTCTACTTCAAAGAGCTTTAAGCATGTCCAAAGACTGAAGAAAGTTATTTTAATTTCACTTTTGATTTAATTTTGTTTTGGTTTAAAAATAAACTAAAAATTCCCCAGATCCCATTATCTTCTACTGAAATCCAAGGGTAGATTTCTACCTAGCTGCAGGAGTTGGCTTAAAGGTAGAAACTGTGGGAATTCTCTGAAATTAAAACTATATATTTGTTAGAACAAAACATGTAATTTAATAGATTAAACATAAATTCTCAGGACTTATTTTAATTGATACCAATTAAAGTTTTACTAGAGTCTAAGGAAGTTATATTCTGCCATCTTCTGGATTTGATGCTTGCATATTGTCATAAGATACACTGAATTCACTGTGACTTAGGTTTCACACAGTTTTTTAAAAAATTGTTTCAGGCTCACGCATTGGCATGAATAAAAGTTTATTTTCCATTGTGCTGTACTATCTGTGGAATGAAAATAGTAAGAACAAGGTGGTTTTTATGTGCCACTTTGAAGGAACTCTTGTATTTTGCCCATTTTTAAGGAATATGTGATACTTGCGTGTTGTCATATTCGAAAATGAGTAGTCTCTACTTTATTTCTTTTCTCCTCAGTACCTTGCTGCATTTGCCATTAATTTTCATAGATATTTAAAGCTTTGTATGAGTAGTTTGTTTGGAAAATTTACTTGTTAACTTCTGTCAAAAAAGAAAAGTGTTTTTTCTGGCAGTAGATCCAACATTTTAATTTGTCCTTATTCCCTGCTGGGTATATTGGACCTCTCCTAGCTTTATCCAATTTTATTACTCACCCAGAATTTGAAAGCATGTATAAAAAGGGCTTTACTGAACCTATGGGTAAATTAACAGAAGTTCATAGCAAAAATTAGTTAAGTAATAGATCTATGTTTTCAACTGTGCTATATTTTTCATTTATGTAGCTTATTAAAACATATAACATATAGCACCAAAATAAGCTAGCCTCAGTGAAGGTGTCTTGAATATATCTGTTCTGTGTGTTGTGTTGGCACAGTTCAAAACAGTTCTGATTTGTAGCTTATTCAGTGCTACACATGTCTGTGGGTCTTCAGTGTGGCAGTTAGATTCAGTGTCTTTTCACAGCTTGTATGAGGAATCTATCTGTCCTGTTCCCAGAGTAGCTATCTACATGATTGCTATTATTTCTTGTGATAAGCTTATCCAGGCATAAAACATATCAGTAGCATGTCTAAAAATCTTTGATGTTGAAAGATGGTGTGGTGAGGGAGAGAAAGGGTAGGGGAAGTTTTTACTTGTACATTTTTTTCCAGGTTATCAAAATTTAACATTTTACAAATAATTTAGCGATGATTGAATGAGAAAGGTGAAGAAAAGAAGTCTATATAAACCTGTTTCTCAGTACAAAGAAAAAAAAAAAAAAGTAAGATATTAAATAAGATGTGAGAGAACAGGAAATACTATGACCCACCTTTTCCCACTTCAGATTATTAGAAAGATAACTAGGAAGTACTTTATCTAACATAAATATCTTCTACTTTCAGAGCCAATGGAACAAAGCTGCAAATGACTGCGTATGGCTTTTTTTTCCATTTGAATGCTCTAATAAAAAACCCCCAACACTAATTCAAAAGAAATTGATATTGTTCTCTTAATAACTAATACCCCGTAATGATCTTTATTAGTGTGAATCTATAAATGTTAAATCAGTTTCTAATGCCTTATATCTACTATTTTGATTATGTCTAATAAATTAATAATCTAATATACCTAATAATATCTATTTAAAGGTGGTTGTATAATTAGTGTAAACTTTTTCACATACCATCTGTTTTTCACTGTCCTGTATGATCTGTTGCACTTTACAGAATCAGGGCTGTGTATATATGTGTTGGAATGGAAATTATTTAAAATAAGTAGCCATTTTTTTTGTGCACTCGAATTAGCTTCATTTTGGTTGGCAAGAGACTTGCGCAGTTATAAAGGGTGTCTTTATTAATGTTTGCTTTATGCTTATTTATCAATTTTCTTGTAGGGAACAAATGGCCACAGAAATGTCAGAAATATTGTCTAGGTAGGTGAGAAGACGACACCAAATGAATCAATCATTTTATAAAAACAAATCAAACACGAAATGGGTTGTATTATTATGGAGTGGAAATTAATGGAATCTGGTTCTTTTTAAATGCTAAGCAGATAAGGAAATTTCTTTCAGATAAATTTCCTTTATCCACACTGTTTTTCAGCAATTATTTTTCTGCTATTTTAATTGATTATATAAAAAAGGAACAAGAATAGCTCACTACCGTGGTATTTTATGTAATTTTGATAATATTCCGCCAGCTCACTTATCTTTTCACCTTTCTTATAACAATAATAGAAAACTAGGCTCTACATCTTTCAAAGAAGTATTTCTCCAGATTTAACATAGAGTTCATGAAGCTATTTAATGTTAATGTAACAGTGTTTTTAGTAAGAAAAATATTCTAGTTATAATTCCCTGCAAATAACAGCATTTTTAAAAATTACCATATTAAAATTATTTTAAAACTTCCCTTAAGACATCTAAACAAAATCTCCTTCTGAGATTTCTTGAATGCTAATGCAAGATTTTATGTACAGTGCAGAGGGAAAGGAGAATGCAGGTTTAGATCTGAATACAATTCTACTGGAACAGTCTTGTAGTGGTTTGTGTTAGAATACTAATTCTCTCTTGAAAGAAATTGTCATAATGTCCTCCATATCAATGAGACATTAAAAAGTGTTTTGTGTGACTTGAGGACAGAAATAACCTTTTGACATTGATTTTCTGAAGCTTACATAGGAAGCAAAATTGTTTAGAGTTTTAAAAAGTGAATCTGTTGTTAAACAAGCTACAATGCTGTATATATATAGTCAGAAGATTATTGGTATTGCATGATTGATGGCTTTTCTAGTTGTAGCCTTGATAATTGAGAATGCAGCTGTTAACTAGATTTGTTTCTTGCAGTGGTATTTTAAGAATAGGAATAAACAATGTTGTGTGTAATTAAGTTAGCATGTGAATTTAGATAGCTAGAGTGTATATTGCATATATTGATGTAGTTCCAATGACAATGGCCAATTCTTAATGTGCCAAAAAATCATGAAACTCTGGGGCAAAATAGGAGGCTTTGTGTTTTGATTGAATTAGAAATGCAATACTTCTTATTGCATGCTTGTTTAATTAAATTTTTTTCACTTTTCATTTACTTGAAATTTTTGACTTGAGGTCGATTTTTTTTTTTTTTTTTTTTTAAAGTCTGAAAGTGTTTGATACATAACTTTGTCCAGTTTAGCGGTGAAGACTGATTGTCAAGTATGATGTTGCTCTTACTGCCACGATGTCGTGCTTAAAGTCATGTAGAAAACAAAAGCGTGATCTGCAGAGTGCAGAGCAGTACTGTAACAAAAAGACTAAGCTGTTCAATTGGATTAGCATTCTTAAAGATTACTAGTTTAACCAGAGATCTTACAGCCTAGTTCTGCTACTATAAATTATGTAACAAACTCTTAGAGTGGTGAGTAGTGTTGCTAATTAAGGAAAATCCTTAGGATTTGTCAAATTAGGTTCAAGGAGGTTAGACACCAGGCAGGGGAAATTACATGTAGCAGCAATCCTTTAATGTCCTACAGGTATGCCAGTGATAAAAAAATACTAAAATATATATTCTGAAGGAGACTCTTTGTCTAATGATTAATTTTATACTTAAAGTAGTGGTAAGGGTGAGGAAAAGTTCCCGTCCCTCAGCTATGTACTGATTAAAAGTCAGACTTCTCACATACCATAACAGGAAGCTGTGTGTTGACTAGGATTAGTAGTATGAGTAGGTATAATTAAGCTGATACTGTAAGAAACAGTACGATTCTGTAGTTTTAATTACATTTGAAGAGATGGTTCAGTTACTATTAAGAACAACATTTAGTTAAACATTGTTTTATTTTATGAAACTTGCATTTGTTATTTCTGCTTTCAAAACTGCTATATCTGTATAGAGGAATTTTTCACATAAAATGTATTTATAACCTGTTAACTAAAAAGGGAAAGTAAACAATATAAAACTTCATAGTACCACATGAGACCTTTATGGAAAAATAAACTTTAATATTCACTGTATACACTAATAAGTACTGTAATAATGTAAGAGTCCCACAAAGATATTGCTGCACAAACAGCCTTCAAATGATAAGGCCTCGTTTCTTGTGTTTTTCATGCTGTTAATTTTTCCTGTGACATAGTGCAATTGAGCATTTTGCTACCCTGTTAAAGTCTAGTTTCTTCTGAACAAATCCTCTCAGATCCTGAAAGATAATTCAGTTTGCCTCATGTTCTTAGTCATGGGCATTAGCAGAGTTTGATAAAAAATTATGTGTCTGGTCTTGAATTCCTTAGAGTTTAAAAAGTATTCTGACTGTCACTGTATGTAAGCATTTTGAATTTAGTTTATGTGCGAATAATCCATGAGAGGTTTACTGTTCTTGAGGGAGAAGTCTTCCACCACTTATCCATGCAATTTTTAAGAAAAACGAAAAATACTTCAGATTTATCTTTATACCTATACATATGTTTGTTTATTACATGGATAACCTTGTACATACTGTTAATGATGATGGAGATGTTAGTAACAATTTGTCATTTGCATTTGCTGTTGACTTTATTGCATACTACATACATGACTGATACTTTTTACCTTTGAAAAACACTGTTTCTGTACAAGTCTTTCTATATTGGCCAGCTGTTTTTTCTGAGTGTCTTTTTTTCCTTGGTATCTCTTGTTTCTCCCCCCCCCCCAAATAAATATTCCTGTTCTCAGACAGCTACTACACAATTTATATAGAATTAATTTGATTTATTTCTCTCATTAGACTTTTGTCAGACATGAAATATTTTTTCTAGTCTAGGAACAAGGATTTTTTCCTTATCCAGTTTTAAACAGCAGAGGAAATGCCTTTTCTTCTTTCTTATCTACTTCAGAAATATTTTTCCTCATCTGTTTTTCAAATGGAACTAAAAGTGTATATGGCCGCTCTTTGTTGTCTGCTGCATCTTGACTAGTACTAAGAATAATATTCACCAGCGTGGGGTGAGGTATACATAAATAGAATATGCATCTTTTCACACATAAGTCCTAACTATTAATGACAATTCCTTTTAATCTGTAGGCAGTCAATCAAATTACTATAGGATTTTTAGACATAAAAGATGCTTTCACTTTCTCTCAATCATTTAAGCATCTTGAAAACAATATGGTACTTTGCCTTTGAATTCAGTCCCTCTGTTGCTGATTTTCATTGTAATAAGCATGCTGCAGTGTTGATTGGGGGATCTGTTCCCTCGTTTTGTAACAATTACTGTTTTATACTTGAAAAGACACCTTTTTTTTAAAAAAAAAAAATTGTAGGGGTCCTTCAGTTCAAGCCACAAAAGCTGCTGCTGGTACTAAGAAGCATGATCTCAGCAAGTGGAAATATGCAGAGCTTCGTGATACAATCAATACATCCTGTGGTAAGTTGTTTGGTTTTTCTATTTCTGATTTGAGAAAGAAGCCAAGTTGTAGTTCTGCTAAAGGTGTTACTTTCTTCCTATGGCAAAGATAAAAACTTGCTCATTAATTTATTCAGGTCTGAATGAATGTGAGATTAATTTTAAAAGTTTCTATTACCCCAAAGAGAACAGAAAACTAAACTATTTCCATATTGAGAAAACAGAATTTTCTTTGTTACCTCCTTTACTGATTATCTATTTATTATGTTAAGCTGCTTGGGCTGTAAAACACGTGTTATAATTTCTTAATTAAATTGTCTCAGTTTTATGTATTTCCTCAAAAGGAATAATAGTTGTTGTGCTTTACGCAGAGTTTGTGTGTTCTAAGAAATTTTTGGTATCAATTCTCACTGTCACAAGAATCACAAAATGACAAAAAAGTAAATAAGTCATGTAAAGCACAGTGTAAAATATTTTCTGTCTTAGATGTTCAGACTATTCTCTAAATTTCAAAATGTGTAACTTCATTTGGGAAGCTCACAGTTGTAACATTAATTACTTTTCCCCTGATGTTACGAAGATAGAAACAGATAAGAATTATTCCTTTATTAAATATAACTGTTTGTTCCTGCTTCTGACTGAAAGCAGTTTGTTAATTTCTGATTTAAGATAACTCAGAATTTCTCCCTGGATGTAGAAATGGGAAACAAACCCATTCTCTCTATTTAAATCCCAAAGTTAGCTCCAAAACCGAACTGTGTCTCTGCGTTTTAACATGTGCAAGACTGGAGCAGTGTTTTTGGCTAAATAGGTGGAGCAGTAATACGTGGTGCTAATGAGTGTTCATCCTTAGTGAAGCCAGTTTGAATAGTCTTAAGTGACTAATGAAAAAGCCTTGCAGTCATTCAGTCTCTTAGTATCATGAAATTCAGCAAAATTAAAATATATTTAATAAAGTAGAAAAAGAACCTAGATCTGCGCAGTCAAATTTCTGATTTTGGTTTTTTCAGTTGCAGAAATAAAGTTCAGCGAAATTTTATCTGTTTCTGTACTACTTGGCTTGTGGTAATGTCAACGGGAAAATTTAGTGAAATTAAAATTTTATTTGTAGCATTTCACTGCTCTAAATCTCAGAAGAACACACTTTAGGGACTGCCATTACTTTAAAGGAGAAAAGTATATATAGCACTCCAGGGGACTTTCTGGGCCATAAAATACAGGCCCTGTTGCTGCAGAGAATGAGGGTTTATTATATTATACTGTAACATATTAACATTACAATGTGATCTGAAATACAGAAAAGCATTTCATAAATAATTTTTCTGATTTTTCTCACTCATCCCTTCCTTCCTCATTTTTGAGCCAGATATTGAACTATTGGCAGCTTGCAGAGAAGAGTTTCACAGGAGGCTAAAGGTATATCATGCTTGGAAATCCAAGAATAAGAAACGCAATGCAGAAACAGAACAGCGTGCTCCGAAATCAGTCACAGACTATGGTGAGGAGAGATATGTTTGTGTTTATAATAATTTTGGTGACAGTATTCTAAAGAAAACATTTCTAGAATCAATTTTTGGTTTTGCTAGGTTGAAGGAAATTCTTGGGTTTTTAAAGAGTATTTTTATATTGATGTAAGGTAAATATTTTTAACAGATTGGAACTGGCAAATACTTTGCAGAAAGTAGAATATTTATTAGGAGACCCAGATACATGTACTGAATAGATCTCCCTAAAACCTTTCCTCATACCAACTCATCTGTTAAAATAGTTCTTGATTTGCTGTTGCAGTTGTAGGTGTTTTTGCTAAATGTTTATTGCTGTGCTACTTAAGATTTAGAAAGATTGTTTTCCATTAATGAAACTGTGGTTTGCATTTTGAGACTTCTGAGACTTTGTTTATAAGGTTGCTCATACTAGTTCTGACCTCTGTAAGTATAAATGTTGCTTTCTGAGAGTATTTAGTGATAGTTCAGAACAGATAATTAGACATAGGGATAGAATAGAGATTCTAAAAATAGTTTAATTGAATCATTTGGGTTGGAGAAGAACTTTAAGATTGAGTCCAGCTGTTAGCCTAACACTGCCAAGTCAACCGCTAAACCATGTCTCGAAGCACCACATCTGCACATCGTTTAAACCCCTTCAGGGATGCTGACTCCACGACTTCCCTGGGCAGCCTATTCCAATGCTTAACCACCCTTTTGGTGGAGAAATTTTTCCTAATATCCAGTCTAAACCTCCCCTATCACAACTTGAGGCCATTTCTTCTTGTCCTATTGCTTGTTACTTGGGAAAAGAGACCAACAACCTTGCCACAACCTCCTTTCAGGTATTTGTAGAGACAGGGATAAGGTCTACCCTGAACCTCCTTTTCTCACAGCTAAACAACCCCAGTTCCCTCAGGCACTTCTCGTAAGACTTGTAGTCTAAACCCTTCACCAGCTTTGTTGCCCTTCTCTGGACACACTTGAGTAATTCAATGTCCTTTTTGGAGTGAGGGGCCCAAAACTGAACACAGGAATCGAGGTGCGGCCTCACCAGTGCCACAGGGTTAGATCCCTTCCCTGTCCCTGCTGGCCACGCTATTGCTGACACAAGCCAGGATGCCATTGGCCTTCTTGGCCACCTGAGCACACTGCTGGCAACCCTTCAGCCGGCTGTCAACCAGCATCCAGGTCCTTTTCCACCGGGCAGTCTTCCAGCCACTCTTCCCCAAGCCTGCAGTGTTGCATGGGGTTGTTGTGACCCTGTTGCAGGACCTGGCACTGAGCCTTGTACAATTGGCCTCAGCCCATTGATCCAGCCTGTCCAGACCCCTCTGTAGAGCCTTGCTTCCCTCAAGCAGATCAACACTCCCACCCAGTTTGGTGTTGTCTGCATACTTACTGAGGGTGCACTCGATCCCCTTGTCCAGATCATTGATAAAGATATTAACAGAACTGGCCTCAGTACTGAGCTCTGGGGAACACCACTTGTGACCATTCTCAAATAGTCCATCTATCAGAGAATTGCATGTCTTTTTTTTTTTCTGATTTTTTTTTTTCTGTTGTAAAAAGCAAGATTTGAAGGAATCATGCTCTGTTATGTAATTCACTATTACATTTGGGGTCCAGACAAAACAAAAAGTATTGGTGATAAGGGTGTTTTTTTTCTCATGCTTTTATTGTTTGGTAGGATATAAGTATATAGACTTCTAAAAGGTGCTAATGATTTCTTCATTTACATCAGTGTAAACCTTAGATACTTCAGGTTACATTCTGTCTTTAAAAATTCTGTGAGTGTTGACATTGCAATTTTTATGGGATGACAAATTTTGCATAGTCCCTGCTTTCTTATTAGACTGTCATTCTTCTGATTTCACAGATGGGTGTTGATTGTCAAAGTGATGTGCTAATGACAGTAAGTGACTACCTTCTAAATTCACAGGAAGGTGTAGGACTTCCCATGTTTTAACACTGCCGGACCTGAAAATCAGGTGCCCAGTTTCTGGAGTGATATTTGCAGAGTGGATTGTTACTCTTTTTCTCACCACCCCATCCCCCCCAAGTCCAGTGATTGTCTGTTATAAAAGGAATCTAAGAAATTAAGAGAATCACAGCAAATAATTGTCAGCTCTTTCCTGCTGTCTTGTGGTTCCATGATTCTTCTGTTCCTTGGCACACAGTTAATGGGAGAGGAAGAAGAAGGGGGAGATGGGGAGAGGATGCTCTCCCCAAAGTCACATTGGCCTGGGATTAGAGCATTGTCCTGGGACATGGTGGATACAGATCCCAGGGTATGCAGGTGCCCTACTTTCAGTGTTGGTGTTTATACAAAAGTGTCTCCTTCGCCTTGATTCATTTACTGAGTTATGCAGTGCTTGACCGTTACCTGAGAATTTGAGCTTTTCAGGGAACTTTGGTACACATACATGGCAGGTGAAATCTGGACCCCTAGAAAAGGTGTTATCAAAGAATGGGTCCTTGTGGCCATGCCTAGTAACGTGGGTTTAAGTGCTTAAGAAAGCTTATAGCTGAAACAGCAGGAAAAGGCGTTTGAAGCACTTCTGCAAAGTGGTAGGTTGATTTGAATTTGAGCTTGCAAGTTCTGTCTGGAGCTAAATGGGTAAAATAAATATTCATGCTCAGTATTGCTGATGGGAAGTATCAAAAAGCAGAAAATCTTTGGGTTTGTGCAAATAAAGCTTGGAATATTCATGATCTCATCACATTTAGTTAGACATTTACAGCATTCTTTTCAATATTTTTCATTGCATTTTTTTTACTTTTCTTGAAATATGGCTTCATATATCTGAGGAAAAGTTAGAACATTGCAGTTCAGAAGAAAGTCACTGATGGCAACCTTTAGAGACTCTCATTAATGTCAGAAGTAATTCTTCCTTTTGTAATTACACTATATGGGCATTTCACATTTATGTATTATAATGATTTGAGAAGGTAGTAAAAAGAAAAAACTCTGTTTTCTTTATGTTTAAGCTAAACATTGTCCAGGTGTCAGTGGATGTGTGCTTCAGATGATGTAGTTTCTTCTTTCCATCTTCTCACTGATGTGATAATTTTACAGTTATCCTTTATTTAAATTAATATATTCAGTATAGAAGCTAAACACTGGTTTGTGTATTATTACTGGAATGGACAGATTTGGTATTAATAAAGGTCTGAAAATTTCTTCCTAGCAGAAATGTCAAAAATTAAAAGTCCTACGTTAATTAACTAACAGATTTGTTATGGCAATCTGTGCTTAGCATGTATGCAACCAAAGTTTTGTAACAGCTATCACAAATAATTGAAGTAATCAATTTCAAAATTAAATCCTGATGAAAATAGTTGTGGGAAATCTATGAAATTTGAGGAAAGGAGATGTTTTATATATGTCAGTGAGCAGAAAATGAATAGAAATACTTAGCCCAACATCTGTGTTTATCTTGTAACTAGAATTTCCGTTTGTCTATCATGAGCATTGGTGAAAAATGTTGAGGTAATGAAACTATAACTTATAAAGGATCAGCACTTTTATGTTTTGCTCAACATGTAATGTTTGTTCACAGATTTTGCACCATTTTTGAGCAACTCACGTAAGTGGGGAGGTGGTTATTTAAGCTAACTTTGAAGAATAGGAACACTTGAGAGCTCTATACTAACATTAATTAATCCAGTGTTTTGCTACATGTATACATAGAATCTGATTGTTCAAAAAAATTATAGAATCTGATTGTTCAAAAAAATTATTTTACAATTTGGCAATGTTATTCAACTGATGATAATTATATGTTCTAGTAATTTACGAATGTATTTTACTGCTTATCTTCATGAGATCCTACCCATTTGAGCAGTCATGGGGAGAATGAAATAACCTTTCCATAACCTTTAACCTTTATTTGATGGTATACATTTCTATTTTTTTCTCTTTTTTAGCCCTCCCCCCCCC